TGTCGACTACCTAGTAGTCATCAAGGTCAAAAAATTCATCATCTCCTCCTTGGTATTCCATTCCCTGGAAATCTACTCGGTACCGCAAGATACCTGGGGAAGCAAATCAAAGAGTAAATCACCTGTGTTTGTGGGATGGGGAAGGTTCACTTTAATAAGGAATTTGTAGAATTACAGAAAACAAAGAGATGGTAAGAAAAAATGGTCCTAACCATGGGGTGCCTGGGTGGAACAGTCGGACGGGCATCCGACTCTTGGTTTTGGCTCGGGTCAGGTTGTGATCTCCAGGTGGTGGATTGAGCCCTGTGTCAGGCTCTGCGCTCAGCACAGAGTCTGCCTGGGTTTGTCTTTCCATTTCCTTCTGCCCCTCGCCACCATGTGCACACGCTCTCCTCTCTCTCAGATAAACAAATCTTTAAAAATGGTCCCAACCAAGGAAGCTGCAACCATGTGTTGCCTCAACCTCCTGCCTTGGTGGAGGATATGCACACCTTTGCCTGAAGTAACTTGACTTTGGGATAGCCAGGAAAAGCTTTGGCTTGAGACCCTGGCGTTAAGTTTATTTTCCTTACTTGCTACTCACCTCCAATTCCACCAAATCCTTTCACAAACTGGGATCCTTCTTGTGACTTATCTGTGACAATTTCCAACGTAGCTCCAAATTTTTTATAGTTGTTAGCAAACCATTCCAGCAGGGGCATGCTCTCAATCAGCTCATGTTCTTGTCCTGTCTCTTTGTCTGTGAAATGAGATTTATCCTTCTCTTGTTCTGGAGTTAGATAGAGAATTTTCTCCTCTTCTGTGCCTTAGCAATGAAGAACATATCTCATTATATCCAGATTTTCATAGACTATTAGAATCTCTACAGCTCCCATTTCTAAAGCCTTTAGTGTATCTTCAACTCCAAAACAGTACTTGCCCGTGTCCTGGCTGATTTCATCAAAGTATCGTCCTGTGATTAGGAACAGGTCCGTAAGTACATATAGTAAAGTTTCCTTGGTAGATACAGACTTTCTTGCTCAAAATCCAAGAGAAAAAAATCAACTCAAAAATGAGTTAAGTGCCCAAAATCAGTGAAAAATCATACCACTCTAGTTGAGGCTCCAGAATTCCCTCAAGGGGTTAAGGGCTGGGCCAAATAGAGTCATTTGGAAAAGTATGTGTGCTCCATTAAATCAGAAACAAAGCCAAATAATGGCCAGATTAATCTCTAATTTGGGCTCTCTATTCACCACTCTATTACAAAGGATAGTATGCAAAATGAGACTGAAGTTTGGTTCCTATTGCCAAAGGGTAAAAACAGAAATATAAGCACATTTATTAGAACTCATGACTAAAGGAAGATTAATGATTCCACTGAGGAAGTTTTTAATACAAATGCTAAATCTTCCTTTTACCTTTTCAGCATCTTGTTACATACATATAATCATGTGCACACAAATACACAAAAAACTTTTCACAGAATAAGTAAACAAACTGCATTTCACTGATACCTATTAATTTCTTCTCTTGAATGAATTTCACGTTGGAGAGAACTTCAGTAGATAACTCAATAGCTTGGTTGAATCCATTTTCACCACCATAGGA